TGAGAGAGAGAGTGTGTGTGTGTGTGAGAGAGTGTGTGAGTGTGTGTGTTTTAGTTTGGCATATAATCTACATGTACTAGGTATGAATCGTGCGTGTTTGTGTCAGTGTGAGCGTCCAAGGGTGTGCTTGTGAATGTGTTAGGGTGTGCATACATATAGAAAGAACCAGTGTGTGTGAGCGTGATTCAGCAACCAAAACAATCCCATGAAACTGTTGTAGGCTTAGAGAGTGTAATCTACCCTACTTTACGGTCCTCTTTTCTGTTCCGCCCTTCCGTTACCTGATGATGGAGAGGGAGGGAAGAAGGGAAGGAAGGAGAGAGGGAGGGAAGAAGGGAAGGAAGGAGAGAAGGAGGGAAGAATGTGAGGAAGGGGGAAGGAGGAGGAGGAAATACAATAGTGGCAGTAATAATGTGTAAACGTTGGAAAATGAAACCCTGTGTGAGGGAAAGGGTGGAGAGGCACCCTCCCCTTTTTCTAGTGTCTCCCGAAAGCAGCGACTTTACCTACCTGCTGTGTCAAAACCGGGTCGATCTTGGGCACCTCCAGCTCCTTGAAGGGCTGGGGCGCCACGCCCTCGTACTCCTTCAGGATCACCGTCTCCTCCCCGACCACGAACACATCGGGGGACTTGACCAGGAAGTCCCTGAACTCCTTCACGTGTTGCCCCGAGACGTGACGGACCTCTGGCGATGCCTGGGACCTGTGGCCAAGCAGGGACTTAATGGGAACCTCCGTCCCTGCCCCGTACTGGCGCAATTTGCCCACGAAATAATCCACAGCCTCCTTGACGTAGTCCCTTTTGCCCAGAAGCTTCCCCGTCGGGTCGTGCGGGTTGGAGATCCCGTTGCTGTAGTTGGTGACCGACACATAGTCCTCCTCGAGCGTGAACAGGGACGGATACTGCTGCAGGAACTTCCTGAGGCCGGACTGCGACCCGCCTGCGATCTGACGCATTTCCTTGGTGAAGCCTTTCGTCCCGAACTGACAGCTGAGGTCATGCAGCGTCCGCGGCTGACCCTTGTCCATGAGCCGGTCAAGGAAGAATAAGAGCGTAAGGTTCTTGACATGGTCGTAATCTTTAGAGTCCATACTCATTGAAACTAATTTAGATTTCCAACGATATCCTCTAAAAACTCAATTAGGTTGGATGCTCTCCCCACGAGCAACGACATACGTCCCTCCCCTCCTCACTCCACAACTACACTGAGGTGCAGCAGCGTCAGCCAACACACCTTAGGATCCACCAGAATGTGGGAGAGTTGCCTATTTTTCATGAATTCTCTTAGTTTCTACATATTTGTTCGGGGTCAGTTTTTAATAATGATAAGTATATTTCTTTATCGTAAATTATCTATTCATTTTTTAAACTCTTATTGAAAATATTCATCGTATTTTTTTTCATCTGAATTGGGAAACGTTCTTTGGTCATACAACAATTTCAGTAATGCATTTAGGGTTTACCGATAGTAAATGTATAAAGATGACCATCAGTTCTAGGATTCCGTGCCTACAAGTAAATTTATTTTATTTTTGTGATGATAATATCTGCATACAATTATCGTAAGTTTCTCTATTTCAAAATGCCGGGTCAAAACCATTAAATTTCAGCAGCGAACTGTGTTACTACTTTTCTAAGCGTTTCCTGAAATTCGCATTCTAATTACTATTTCTTTTAATTACTATTTCATTCATGTGTTTTTTTTTCTACACAGTATTATATGTATAATATATATAAAGCATTTTTTTCCTAGAATTTACAGTAGAAGACAAAGCGTAAATCAAAAGAGAGAGAAAAAAAACTAGACGATGCATATATTTTCATATAATCACAATTTCAAAATCAAATCTAGAAAGTCATTTATTTATCACTTTACTTTATGAAGAAATGAAGTGAACTAATACTAATCTGTAAACCAAAATTGTAAAATGAAAGGAATACACGAATTGGCAACATCAAGAACTTGTTGATACATACTAACTTAAGGAAAAATATTGTTATCATACACATGTGTATATAACTACAGCACGTGTATATGTGTCATTCCTCAAGACAAAAATAATATTGCGGAGTTTGATATAAAATTTATATATATGCTAGCGATAAGACGCTGTTAGGTAGTTTGAGAGAGAGGAGAGAAGAGAAAAGAGGAGAGAAGAGGAAAGGAGAAGAGAGGGGATGGGAGGGGAGGGAAGGGAAGGGGAGGAGAGGAGAGGAGAGGAGAGGAGAGGAGAGGAGAGGAGAGGAGAGGAGAGGAGAGGAGATATATACATACATGTGTGTGTGTGTGTGTGTGTGTGTGTGTGTGTGTGTGTGTGTGTGTGTGTGTGTGTGTGTGTGTGTGTGTGTGTGTGTGTGTGTGTGTGTGTGTGTGTGTGCGTGTGTGCGTGTGTGCGTGAGCGCGCGTGCATACATGTATATATGTGTACTTGTGTGTATATATATATATACACATATACATATATATGTACATGTATATATACATATATACAAATGTATACGCGCGCACGCACACACACACACACACACACACCTGTATCTACGCGTTCAGATTTTGTCCATCAATATGCGTAAAAATGTATCAATTTACATGGATGTTCAGAGAAAAAACGTCTTTACACGATCATCAGCGGTTGCTGAAATATGTGATTACATTTTTTTTATGATTTTAATTTTATATTTTTTTTGTGTTGAACCGTGGTGTTTATTGATCCATGATCTTCCTTCAGACTTCAGAGAAAATATAAATGAGTAAAATATTGAAAAGAAACAGTTGACATAAAATACACATCATCTTCAACTTGGCTAAATAAAGATGTTATTTAAAAGCAACTGGAATCGAGCCATACTACAGAAGCATTTGGAAAATCGCGCTCATATGAAATCACCTTTTCTTTAAAAATAAGACACAAGAAGAGTATTTCGTGGCAGTCCATAAGTAACGCCAAATATCTCTAATTACTTCTATTGTAAGGGTATGTTTAGTTATTATTTTTTTCAATTCATAGATGGCGTCCTTGTCACCTCGCTAGGTTAAGACGTAAAGCATGGATAATAATTTGATAAAATAAATATTCCATGCATTTTTTTTCCTATCAGACACACGTGGTTAACATAAACTAACACCATACTTCGAATATCTTACCAGTTTAAAGAGGTTAACATAAACTAAGACCATACCTCGAATATATTACCAGTTTAAAGAGATTAACATAAATTAACACCATACCTCGAATATCTTACCAATTTAAAGAGGTTAACATAAACTAACACCATACCTCGAATATATTACCAGTTTAAAGAGGTTAACATAAACTAACACCATACCTCGAATATCTTACCAGTTGTAAGAGGTTCTTTAATTGACGAATAACCACGAAATAGTCACCGACAGATGGCTCTCTCTTAAACTTAAATAAACATCTGGCAACTCGACATCAAGCATACAACGTCCCTAGTGTCTCATCCTCCCACCTGTCAGTGCGGTTGTTATTCTTCCTTCCACGTCACTGTAAGCCGCTATTTCGTTTTATCCTCTATGTTTATTGTATTTTAAATGGGGTTTGAAGGCTTTTTTTTTAATCTGGAGTTTTGTTTACGTAGCTTTTGATCTTGTGTGAATGGCTAGTTGATGCTGGGTTGGGTCTATCGGGTGCAGGCGTGGAAACATATGATTGTGATACTTACCTGGTCCAGGTTAATTAGAATTCATGTATTATTATCTACTTGTGTTTGTTGTCAACGCCAGCTGATAATTTGTTCAGGATATGTAGGTTGATAATAACAGAACACAGGGAATGGCTTTCAAAGTAACATTTTTTTTCTGACTTGGGAGAACTTAGGGACACTTATCATCAGCAAAGGAAAAAACAGTACTCATTTTTCGGTGCAAGAAATAATCTGTAGACACGAATGGTAATACTGGAAATAAAGGGCAAATGCTGCTGAAGGAGATGCTCTTGGCCAAGTCCAATCGGTGCTCCCAAATTTCAGCTCTAGCTTTCCGTGCTTAATGAGGTGAAGACCGTATTTCCTGGTGTCCCGTCAACCCTCTTCTCGGGCAATAACGCCTAGTTGTGGTAATAGAGTATGGAATAGATTTTATGACGTAGAGTATGGTGCTTAGTCTTTAGTTGAGTGCATCCATACTGTAAAGAATTATCCAGTATCAATGGACTTGCCACAGATTGTCCCCCAACACCACATCACAAGATTTATTGTATAATTTAGGTTGCCATGACTGGGCATGCCTTTTGGAGACTTCCCATGGGGAGGGTTGAATAACTTTTGAAATGCAGAAAATAGTATGTGATAAATGCTGTACCTTACTCCGCAGTGATTTATTGTCACAATAATCCTGCGTAAACTGATTTTTGCGTGTAGGTCATTAGACATAGTCGATTAATATCATTCATGAAAAGGTACTGCACTTGCAAGGTATTTCTCTAATTCTATTGTAGCAATTACAATGAAAGTGATGTCCATTTTCAGGATTAGGACGTGAGAAATCAGGGTTTCTGAAGAGAGGAATAGTGCAAATCATATCTAACACATTTGATGACAACGGATTTTCCCCATGCCATGCCAAAGTGTGCCAGGCATTATAAGCAGTCAGCTACTCAAGCAAAAAATTAGAAGCAAACTTTTTGCTCCCTACATTTTAACCCATTGCCGCCAGGGAAAATTAACCAAAAATAGGGGAAATGCAGTACTCATTTTTTACATTTTTTGTGAAATATCTGTCCATAGATGGCTCTGCTAGTCCAGATTTCACCTTTCCTTGAATTGGTGGGAAAAAACGTATTCTTACTAGTGCTATAAATATAGATGGTGTTATTTTTAACAGCAAATTAGGATAACGTTAAATATTTTCGTAAATCGATGAAAAGGGTGAATGGGTGAGATAGGCAGTACTCATAATTGGCTCATTGGTGACTTAGTACAAGTGTAGCCATTTATGTGTAAAAACAATCGAACAAGTCGACTTGCAGTGGGCATGGCATGTACGTACATGCCATCCCTGGCAGCAATGGGTTAAGCTGCAACATACACCCTTCTTAGGAAAGGAGGCTAAATAGAAAATATAAGACCTCTTTTAAGTGGGGTATCCCTTCAATGATTACATTCATGGTTAAATAAGAAAACAATTGACTGTGTGGCATGGATACTTGCCACCCAGCCTATGGGCCTGGTTCACCTTGAGGGAATGGATATTTATTTATTTATTATTTTTTTTCGTATTTATTTATTTTATTATTATTATTAATATATATATATTTATTTTATTATTATTATTAATGTATATATATTTATTATTGTTATTATTATAGTTATTATTATTGTTATTATTATTATTATTATTGTGCACACAGCAATGGTAGTTGCCTCTATGCCTAACTGGGCTGTAGTGAAACGATCATCAGACATCATATATAATCTGCTGGGTCATAGCTTGCACCAGTTCCATATTTGACAGTAAACCTCCTGGGTGCACCGCCGCTAATGACCGTAGATATTGTTAATATATAAATAGATTAATTTATAAATAATCAATCCTGGGTGCATTTTCATTTTATATGCTGTAACACAACCAGTATACACATCTTTTGTAATACAATAGTTGTTTTAGTAATATTTATGTGTATTTACCTTCTTCTTTTGTATTAGGAGTGTTTTTTTTTTTTCATTTTCAATCTACTAATGTTGCTCAAATATATGACATGAAGCAGTGAGGACAGAAATTAATGGTATATTTTGATGATGCACAGATTCCTGCTTATCCACACAAAGCTGTACATTACACACAATATATATATATATATGTATATGTATATGTATATGTATGTATATATATATATTATTACAAATAATCCGAAATATATATGTGATGTCTTTTATTGCTTTTTAACAGATAATAATGACCAAACTGGTTGAGTGGTTAATGGGAGCTGTCCTTATCCTGGGACCCTGGACAGCTGTAGTGACCAGCACGGTTAGTATCTTTTTGAATATCAATTTTCAGTTTTCCATTTAATTTGTCAATACTTGCTATTATTGATTCTGCAGACATAATGCTATATTATATATGAGAAGTGTTGATTGGAGTAATTATCACATTCAGAATTCATTACCTTGACATAATATTCTTTTTTTTTCACAGGTCAAGAATGAGTTTACTGATCAGTACTTCGTATATATCCTTCTCCTTCCTCTTGTATTGGTTGCCATGTTTGGTTTGGTATCAGTGGCAATAATTGCACATAGAGTCTACAATTTCAACGACTGCAATGAAGCTGCAGAGGAGCTTACAAAACAGATAAAGGAAGCCAAGGAAGATTTAAGGAAGAAGGGACTAAAAATTGACTAACAATTGTTTTAATTATACCTTTGTGGTTGTGGTAGGAGAGCTATGCTAAAAAATATCCAGATGGATGTGTTAGAATACAGTGCTTGCTTTTCTTTTTTGTATTTTGTCTTCTGTGAATTCTCAATGTCTGATGAATTATCTGGTTTCAGAATATTTTTGTAAGATCGAGAAATGTGTAAGAGAACATGCTTGTTATTTATTATATTCATTTTATAATAAAATATAAATTGTAAACAAAAATTATTTTCTTTCCCTGTTTGAATAATCTTTAGGTAAACTTTATACAGACAAGATTATGGTTGCTTTTTGAGGAGATTCACATCTCAAAATTGGCCTAAAATAACCTTTTAGCCTGGTTTTCTTGAAAATTTATATTCTGCAGATCCTTAGGAAAAAAAAAATAATAATAATTTGTCCAAAAACTAACAATATAAGTAAATAACATGAACCCCACAGATACATGCCTAATATTTGCGAAACATTTCTGAACACTTCACTGGTTTTGAATGTTTGAATGTTTACCTGTTACTGAGTAAAACTACTCATTACCTCATTAAAGCAATACTACTATAGTAACAATATTGCTTTTGTTTTAAAGTTAACATTCAATACATGCTAATAATAATTATTATTTGTATGATTATAATAACTATTATAATCATAACAGATTTTCAAAACGTAGCCTATACAGTATGCAAAATGATTAATTACAGAATGTTTCTACAAGTTAGGCCTGTAAATATTTAAATTTTGAGTTTAATGTGGTGGCCTGTAGAATTCCATCCACAATGCACAAGGAATATATGCAGTTTTAAAGATCATTTCATCCCCCCCCCCCCCCCCATCCCTTGCTCACTGTTCTCGTTGGGGGCTTGGGAGACGGGATCACCCCTACCTTAGACCTCAGCCCTTGTCTCATTTAATTTTGCATGGCCTTTTCTCTCCCCCTTTCCTTTCCATCTCTTCATCATCCCCTTCTGTCCACTTCCTAAGATGTGATAGCATGATGAAAGGCTGACTTTGTGTCAGTCATGAACTGTCTCTGGGAGCCATAGACACAGTATTCCCTTGGTTAAATGTCTAGCCCATACCCCTCATGAGAACCCTTTCTCAGACACATATTCTCCATCTGATCTGATCACCCTATAACTTTAACCACATCCTTTTAAAAATTGCCATTTACTCCCCCCCAACCCTTTTCTCTAATTATTCTATCCTACAGTATTCTACAACCTTTTGACATCTAACACATCTTATCCTGATTGTTAACTCATTTCCACCCTTTTTGCCACAATACTTTACCATAGTGCTATATGACCTTTGATGTCTAGCACATTTAGTTCTAACTATTAACCATTAACACCCCCCTCAAGCCCTTGCTCGTCGTTGCTGTGTGGGGGCTTAGGAGGCGGAGACTGAGACCTAATGTAGGGATCACCCCTGCCTTGGACCTCGGCCCCCAGCCTCAATTAATATTGCAAAGGCTTTTCTTCAGCCTCTTTCCTTTTCCTTCTCTCCTTTTTCCCTTTCTTCTATCCAATTATCCAAATCGATAACTCATATTTACTCTTTTTGTCACGATACTTTACCATAATGCTGTTGTAATCTTTGATGCCTGGTACATTTGTTTTTTGACTGCTAACCATTCTGGAAATCCTCAAACATTGCCTTCCTGAACTAAAAGACATTACCTGGAGAATTTGCCCCCAAGCCCCACCCTATCACTATGTTTTGTATATGCCGCTAATGACCTTGGATGTTGATGCAGTAGAAAATTTTCAATAAATAATAAAATTCATACACATTACCTACCAACATTACCAAGGGATATAGCGGCTTTAACCTCACTTTCCCTCACAAGCTCCATCTGCAGTTTATCTTGGGGAAGATAAGTGAGGACATTACCACTGTCTTTGGTAAGAAGTTTGTCATCACAGAAAATTAAATAGGAATGCTATCTTCTCCATTCTCTTGTCCTCAGGCCTCGTATTAAAGGAATAAAAATCTTTGGGATCACTTTTCTCAAAAAGTTATTTTCAATGCTAAAGCCGAAATAGCTGTTGTTTTGTTGGAAACGGTGAACAGTCTGCTACAATTTCTATTTTAAAAATAGTAAAAACTAAAAAAACACTAATGCATTATCTTAAGGAAAGTATGGAAATACAAGAAAAATGAAGGAAATCTGAAAATTGTATAAAAACAATAAAAAGACAAATTTAAGAGATGTTGATAATAGAATGTAAAGTTCACTGTAAAAAACATTATAATTTGTTATTAACAAAACTGGATGATAATCTTTGATTTTATTTCAAATTGAAGAAATGAGAAAAGAAAATTTTATTTATTGCTCCTACAAGTTTCCATCAAATTGCTCCAAATTTTAAAAGAATGTACACTGCATAGAGGTTTAACAATATATAAAAAAATGAAAAATATCTGCTTGTAATTAACAAAGTTGATATTATGGTGACACTCCCTTAACCCATTCGTGCCGGGTAAAAATGAACAAAAAATGGGAAAAATGCTGTGCTCATTTTTTATATTTTTTAATGAAATGTCTCTACACTAGATGGCTCTGCCTTACCTGATTTCACCTTTCCTTGAATTGGCGGGAAAATGTATTTTACTAGTGCTATGAATATCGATGGTTATTTTGATTATAAACATTATAACTACTATAATGCTATAAACATTAGTAACAGCAAAATAAGATAACGTAAGATATTTTCGTAAATTAAAGAAAAGGGTAAACAGGCGAGAGAGGCAGTACAAGTACAAGTGTAGCCATCTGTGTGTGAAAACAATTAAACAAGTAAACTCACAGTGGGCCCATCACGTATACGTGACACCCGGCGTGAATGGGTTAATATACTTTCATCAAGTAAGTGACATTATCCCAGTAGGGACTGGTGTGACTTAAGGGAATGGTCAGGAGTCAGTAATAATTTTGGTAACAATGTTTATTCAATTATTGAAAATTTTCTGATGTGTCAACATCTAAGGTCAGCAGTGTATTCAAAATATAGTGATAGTGTGAGGCTTGGTTGGGCAAAACTCCCAGGTACGGAAGTGCTATATGACATCAAAGGTCATATGGCATTAAGATAAATTAGAGTAGTGTAAATGGGTAGGAACTAGTTAATGATTAGGGTAAAGTTATAGGATGAACAGTACTAGAGGGTGGTATTGTAGTGAAAAGGGTAGAGAGAGGGAGCTGATGGGGCATAGTATAAGGTAAATGTTAGAAGGGGAAAAAAGGCAAAAGTGAGTTTAATGATAAGGATAAATGGACAGAACAAGGGGATGAAGAAAAGGAAAAGGAGAGGTGGAGAAGAAAAGACATGCAAAATTAGTTGAGGCGAAGGCTGAAGACCAAGGTAAGGGTGACCCCCTCACAACAATAAAAATTAGTGGAAATGTAAATTTTACAAAATGCCTCCTGAGAACATTGGTTTTCAGTGCTTGTGACAATCAAGAATGAAGCATGTTTAGCATCATACTCTATTAGTATACGGCTGAATCTGGAAATCTGGAAAAACTCATCACAGTAACCATAAAATGTCAATGTATTTTTTTCTTTTTTTTTTCATAGATTCAGCTGAAAATATATTTTCCAAATCTAGTCTGATTTTGCAATAAAGTATATAATATGAAGTGGGATCTCTCATTTTCCTCAGTGAAAATGAAAATGTATTGACAAAAGCAAATGCACACATGCATGGATGCACACACACAAACAACCTCCCCCCCACATACAGATGCAGAGCTCTATGAGAATTTGACAGTTCATGTCCTCCTTTCTCTAGTGGAAGCCTTGGAAGACAAATGAAAAATTCCTTTCCTGCCACTGGAAATACACTCCAATTGTGAATAAGAAAACCCAAGAATTTGTAAAATATATCCATAACATGGATGACAGAATAAATACTAGAGTGAAACAGAGTGAGAAATGGGGGATTTAAGTGAATTATCTGTTACAAAAACGAGTTAGATCTTTTTATTGCATATTTGTTTGTAAATATAGAAAATTACAGGATTTTTTTTTATCATTAAGAATAAATATCTATTCTTACAACTCAGTAAATAGACATTCATACTCTGGGCCTCTGTGTAACTTACAAAAGTTTCAATACTATAACTGAATCTACAGTAACAATAATTATGAAAAAATTAAATATATACATATAACACACTCCCAGCAATTCTAAACTGTCATCTTCTGATCTCCTGATGTATAACTGTGAAGAACCCATATTCTGCTTTTACTGATATCTATTTTAAGATATGCTTTTACATAATTAACAAGGTTACACCGCAGGCCAGTAATGAAAAATCTGCAAATTTTCAATGTGCTACAGGGCATTATTTTATTACATCAGTAAAATAAACAAACAAACCAAAAAAAAAAAAAAAATACTTCCTGAAAATTATCTGCAAAAGATTACTAGGAAAATAGATGGCTCATATATATATATATATATATATATATATTTTTTTTAATCTGGTAAATCATGAGGCAGATGAAGCAATAGCCAATAACATTTTTGACTTACGGTGATATAATACATAAAGCCACTATAACATGAGAAAAATAATAAATAAAATAAATTCCTGACAATATCTATATTGACATTTATAAACTCTCAATAAAGATCTAAGCTAGGCTTTTATTCATTAAAAGTAAAAAATTACATGTCAAATTAAATGCATTAAATAACAATAATAATAAAAAAGGCATTAAAGCATTAGTTAACATACCTCAATATTTAAAAACCAAGCAACAGTGTACACTGAATCCCTTGCAATAATTTCCTATTAAAACTTTAAGCATCTGCTATCAGAGCAATGTTTTCTAAAGTCATGTCTTTTGTAACATATTGGACTAATCGGCTCCTAAATCCACAGTTTTGTAAGAATTTGACACGACCATAATCAAGTATCTGTTTAGCTTTCCTCCCAACTTCCTCTCTATATTGGGCTGATAGGCTCAGTCTGGTGTAGCGGCTGAAACAGAAGGGAATGAACTTCAATTTACCAATTTTGTGTTACAATTTCAAAAATTGATTTACAGAATTATTTAACATATGAATAATAAAAACTACCATTATAAAATTATCAAACTTTTCCTTAATACTTACTTCTCCACTGTATGTTTGTCTTTGGGGTTGCCTTCCTTATCAGCAATGGACAAATCATTTTCTTCCTCACCAGTGACTTGCTTCTCTTCTCTACTTTCAACATCGCGTGAGTTACAGGTTGCCCAACTTGTGAGGGATGTTAAGGTGTAGAACTCTTCAGGGTGGAAGCCACATTCCTGTCAAGAGTATATTTTAAGGAAATTATATGTAAGTATACATGTATCTTTCATTTTTTCTACATAATTAAGTGATATGATACAGGAGTCAATGTAAGATTTCAGCAAATTCTTTAATTTCAAAGGTATCTGCATATGACAACAGTAACAACTAAAAGGATACCTACATCCACACATAGGGTAACCTAAAGAGAACCCATTGGGCTTGGATAACAATACCTGCAATGTCCACTGTAATTTCAATTCATTAATTATGTTAACACAGATGGCTCCACAAGTGCTTAGTCACCAAGGAGACAATCCTTAGTCTTATCTATCTCAACTGTTTACCTTTGTCCTTGATTTTCTGATATATTCTTTTTTTTAAAGTATTTTAATAAAATTATAATAATCATAATCTCAATAATAGCAATAACAATGGCACCATAATTAACATTAGAAAAAAAAATCCTGAAAATTCAGGGAATGGGTAAATCAGGTGAGTTCATGCAGCACCCACTAATTGATTCCATCTGTGCACAACAAAACTCACAAAAAGCTGCTGTGGATAGTACATGCATCCATGTCCAATGGGTTAAGATCAAATTTACTAAATATATTTTTAATAACCAATAATTTACCTGGAAGAAGTTAATGCCTACATATGATGTCCAGGTACAGCGGTGATGGCAACACAGAGCAAGAGCCAAACCAGAAACAGCTGGGTCACTCAACTTTGACAGACAGTATAATGTCAGGTCTGCAGTATATAATATTACAATTAATATCTGAGTTTGCATTCTTATTTACCTCTTCCCACTTCATCTACAAACTTTGAT